AGATAAAGGTGACCGAAGCCAGATCCCATGGCAGCTGCCCCCCATCGTCAATTTTTTTCACCCTCAGCTGAGGAGCATTATCAGAAATGAGTGATGGCCGTGCCACCGCTATCGCATGCCGTGACATATCGCAGTTCCCACCAGCGCCACTTCTTAACGAACCTAAACCAGAAGTGTACAAATCTACCTTCATCAGTTTCTATACAATATGTCTGTTGCTAACCGTTTCCGGAAACAGCGGTGGTTTAGTTTTGACACATTTATTCATGGCTGCGGTAGATAATTTTTACAGTTACATATGTTTCTAACTGATAGGCGGACTAGAACAAATCGACTAAAAGCTTCTGTGAAAAAAAAGGAGAAAAACGGATTAAATTGTTTCATAAATGCTAAACAGAAAAATAAATACTAGTTGGCCCGAGTTAATAATTCGCAAAATATATTGTTTAATGAAAACATTAAAATTATATTCAAATGAGTAGACCTTAAGGATTATGTGAGGATGTATCTTCGAAGTGGAAGAAAGTTTTAAGTATATCAAATCTAAGGTATTGTACCTTTAGTAATAATGGTCCTATTTTTTTATTGTAGTAATTTAGTAATCTTTCTAATAATCATGGATACAATCCAGAAAAATGCATACTTTTTTGATTATTCGAAAATAAAGTTTCTTTTCCTTCATAATTTTCCCCCCTTAAATTTCAGGGGAATGTGACTATTTTTCCTGCCTGAAGGAGAAGATCTTCAAAATGAGGGCTCAATCGTTAGATTTCATGAAGAATTGACGAAATTATGGCCTTGCGACAAACAAACACCTTTCAGAAATAATATATAAAAATGGTGTATACCATACATGGCATTTCGTTCACCAGAATTGGGTCATTTTGAAAATATTTATTAAATATACTTCCTACTACTAAGCCATGTGGATTATTGTCTAACGAGCATGAGGAATCTACCAGTAGATTTATAGTTTGAGTTATACAAAAAATAAAAATAAAAAATAAACAAAATAGATCATTTGTCAAAAATTCACAGGGAACATGTGTAAAAAATTCATGACGCCATATTTCTGCAAACACAAGGACTGAAATCAATGAATTTTAAAAATTTATTTTTCGAGGAAGTATGCTATATAGATAAATTTATAAGGTTTCAAGGAGAAGACTTTAGAAAAGTTTTATCGGAATCGTTGTAGCCATTTTGGTTCTGAAGTCAATAAAAATACATGTTTTTCCGCGTTTTACAAAATGGCGGCTGCCGATGGGGCTTCTTAAGAGCACTTCTCCATCATCAACTTAATATTAATACAGAGTTTTCACTACAACAAGGGTGGACTCGAAACAACAGGTAGGATGGACACTGAACAGCTAAAACGGACTTGGAATAGCTGGAACAGATTTGAAACAATAGATAAAACGGACATAAAATAATAACTTGTATGGACATGGAACAACAGGTAGTATAGGCATGAAACAGCAACAACAGATAGAACGTACATTGAACATCAGATAATCTGAATATGAAATAACATAAGTTAACTAGAGGGAGATTTTTTAATTTCTTAAGATGACTAAGAAGTGAAGCAGAGATTCCAATGGCTTGGGTTGTTGTCTGGTGGGGCTGAAGGTTATTTGTCCCATGTTACTGAGCACACAGCTTATAAAATATAAATCAGTAAAGATATTTTGATTTTTCAAATAAATTCTAAACTGAATATAGTACAATATATATAAATATAATACAATACTGAATATAATGCAATAAATATGAATATGAAGATATAATAATATGAATATAATGCAATAAATATGAATACGAAGATATAGTAATATGAATACAAAGATAGGAATTATCAGTGCCTTATCAAAATTATCAGTATTAAGGTTATAAATATTGGCAGATAGCAGTCGGACCCGACCGGCTATTTAAGGAGGCTATTTAAGGAGTACCGTGATGAATTATGGTAACTTATTTTGGATCAGTCATCAATATATGAATGATGTTGCAAAGAAAAAAAAATCAATACATCTAAAAAGATGGTAATAAAAAAGAGAACAAAACCACAATATAACTAAATAAATAATTCAGTTTTTTTGTTGATGGTATTAAAGTAAAATAATGCTAAATTAAAAAAAAATTGAACTTATAATCATACAGCTATAGAAGATCTATAAATGGGTAAAGTAATGTAACAATGCTGTTTGATAATTACAATTACTATTGAAGGAAGTTAGTCGACTGTTCTACATATCATGGATAATAAATATTAGGATGCAGTCATTTTTAACGTTTTTATTAGTGCCAATGTTTCAACCCATGTGGTGCTTGTGATGTTGTGTTTCGAGCAATGAAGGTATTCAAGTACTCAAAACTATTCTGACACTTGAATACCTTGAGTGATCGAAACACGCCCTGATGATGACCCACATGTTTGAGTTGAAATGCTGGCACTAATAAAAACGTTAAAAATTACTGCATCCTGAAAATTTATATTTATACAACATTTACCAATATATAGGTTCAAATTTCAAAGCTAAGCATTTGGCAAATATGATTTTAATTTTTAATTATTTTTTTAAATTTAGAGTTATTAGTTATTAGACCTATAAGTCCTCGATATTAGGAAATTAAAGTAATTTAGGAAATTACTGGCATACAAAGTTACTTCAATACTCATAACGGGTTTTTTTTTTCTCTTAGAAAGTTCATTTCAAAGCTGAAGTGTCATTTAATGAACAAGATTTTTTTTCAACACAAGCTATGGTCTGCGAGACTGAGATGGAGGTCTCAATGCGGCCTGTGGAACTTAGTCAAGGTGTCTATATCGCTTACTTACCAAAAAGTTTAGAGATCCCCGACCTAGAATATCTCATAGGGACAATACTTCTTAGAAAGAACATTAAGTCTTAATAGATCAACAGGTTTAACTATAGCCTGTTTTGAATACCTATTGCATTTTATAAGATCTCCACATTCACACAAAATGTGTACAGCTTTCTCTTCATCATTCAAGCATAGCAGGCAGGTGAAATCTCCTACTAATTTAATTTTCTAGAGATATTTTAGGTGATAATCGCCTATCATTCTTCTAAACTCAATCTTTGTCAGGTTTAGGTGGAATTAGGTAGTTAGCTATTAATGAAGAGATTCGAGTCATGCCAGATTTTGGAATGTTTCCTTCTTTGGTCCAAGACTATTTTCAAATTTAAGTCCTCTTCCTTTCCATACTTTCTTGTCTGTAAAACTCGCTTTAAAGTTGTTGTTTTTTTAAATCATAAAATCACCTTTATCTTTATACAGTGGAGCTTTTGATAGTTAAATGGTTTATTTTTATATCAATGTCAGCTAATTAAATACAATGTTATTTGAGCCTGAATCAATCTCTAGTGGTAACAAAAAATAATATGAAGTAAAAAAAAAAAGATTACCTTAATATAAAAAAAATAATACATTATTGAGTTAAGTTAATGAGAAGATTAAGTTCCATAGCCAAGTAAAAAATATGGAAAAACAAAAAAAAGGAGATGAAACCTTGTTAGATGTACAAATATAAAAGATCAAAAAAGTTAATTGGATAATTCCAAACACAAAGCCTCGAATCTCAAAAATTCAGGTGACTTTATCGAACCTGTCAATATGTCCTTCAAAAAGAGGAATTTATCAAATTGTTTAAAATCTTAATACTGACAATCCAGAAATTTAAAAAAAGTAGTGTTTTTGGAGGTAATAGAGTGATGTATTATCTATAGTTAATATGCCTTTTTAGTCAGTTGATAAGAGACGTGTAATATTTTTTCTGAATAAATGTGATTCAGGTTTGATTTCTACCCTGATGATACCTGAATTATTAATGATTTGATAAGTTGATGATTAATAATTCATCTACTGTTAACAGCATTAGTACAGCAAATGTTAAACTTATGTTATTCGAGGAACCCCTCTTGAACAAATTATTTTTTTGGATTCCAATTCAATTCTAAAAACTAATACAAAAAGTGTTGAACTTGAAGGGGTTTTACTAAAGCTAGAGGATGTAAATTTAATAGCAAAATTGTTATGTAAAACGTAGTTTAAGAACTTATGGTTTAATACAGGAGTCTTAAAACTACGGCCTGTGGGCCGGGTCTGGCTCACTAGCACTTCTAATCTGGCTCGGGAAAGTTTCTTTGATTACATGGTAAAATTTTAAAACTGTTTAAAAAATATGAAATTATGTAAATCACCCAAACAGAAGGTTTCTACACCATTTATTGTATAAATTGTTTCTCTTAAGATGCTCATTTCACAGCTGAAGGGAATAAGCTGAAGGGAAGGGGCTTATTTATCACAAGCGATGATCCAGAGGATTTAGGAGGTCTAAATACGACCTGCAGGGCTTATTGAAGGCCTCAATAAGGCCCAAGGAACTTAGTGGAGTTCTCAATGTGGCCCACGGGCCAAATATTTTGGAGACTCCTACTTTAATGCTGGTACTGTTTCACAATAACATGGTGAGACTAATTATTAATAATTGGAAAATAAAATAAATAGACTGAAGAGTGAATTCTACAACTTGATAATTATAATTCAGCTTTTGCAAGACAAATCAATGTTTTATCATGTTGGGATGTGAAAACCTAAGTAACTGTAATTTTACAATTTCTAAATTGTATATAATTCAAACTATCCATCCAGAGGTTTTGAAATAGGTGATGAAATAGGTATATGAAATCACCTTGTAGAAAGATTTTTTTCCTGATCACCAATTTATAAATTAACCTTATAAGTACTAAGGATCTAAGAGTAACTTAGTTGTAGTAAGGAGTAGGGTTGACTTCATGGAATTTTTCTGTTCAAATTGTACCCCTTATCAGCAAACTTGTTACCTAGTTGTAGTATAATAGTTTAATCACTGGGGATTAGAGCTCAGTGTTATCAATGGTGAAAAAGGAATGACATTGAGCATTTTACAATAGGTATTGTATAATAAATGTAATATATTAACTTATAATAATGATTCATTGACTCACCTTGATTGCTTTCTTGAAGGCATGAACTGTGTTGTCAAAATGGTTCAACTTGAGGAAGGAGTACAAAGCTATTCCTCCAACTGCCAGGACAGCTGTTGCCTTCTTCGCCCTACGGGCTCGCAGGTAGGTTGGAGCATCGTGGTGATTCCTTCGGAACAAACGAAACAATCCATTTCCTGAAGACCGTAAAGGACAAATCCTCCTGACAGTTGCCATCACAAACAACAGGAGAGGTTATGGTGTCAGGTTACCGATACTAGGAGCTGGCAAGTGCTGCTCCTCATGGCGGATGATAGAGTCTCATTTTGAGATCAGCTGTCAAAGATCATTTCTTATTTAAAAAACAATTTTCGCAACTATCTTTTAATTTATTTGTCTACTAATTTATTTTATTATTTTTTATTGATTGAATTCATATGGAGGAAAATACTTTTTCAGAATAAAATCTAATTAAACGTAGATTAATTCAAAATTTAATTACATGTAGATATTTTTTAACTTAGATATATCAATTTTTGTATTAATTGAGGTAAAAATGAATTATAATTTTTTACCTTGATATTACTTAAAGCATTGATTTTTAGATATCATTATAAATAAATTCTTATTCAACACAGTGAAAGTTACCATGACAGTTATTCTGTCACAGCCACTGTCACATTAAGGGTGCCTTTTCCCTGATGGGTAATTGTGCTGCTCTCTAGAAAAATTTATACCTCTAGTTTTTTAAAAAAGGTACAATGAAAGTAAAATTATAAAAAATCTAGTGTAATGTTTTTTTGTTGTCCATTCCTTTCTCGCCTTTCAGGTCATACGGGTTTTTTCCCGGGTTAGGATAGAGAGCGGTGGATTAATGACAGAGTTTAAAGCACCTCCGCCACCGAGACGTAAACTCGTAATTATTTTATCACCTAAACTACGTGTTTCCATACGCGTTAGCCCGCTCGGCCACCCCTGCCTCTTTTTCCCTTATCCTTGGTTAGATCATTCACTCCAATTGTAACTCCATAAAACTATTGCTCACTCCAAAACCTTATAATAACGTAAATATGTGTTTCCCCAATAAAAATTCACAACCAGATAAAAATTATTGCTCTCAAATATTTTGGAACTTGCGTGATGCTCCTTCTGGCATAGGCATATCTGGTCGGAGCCAATATGGTGGAGTACACTGTACAAGATAATGGCATCTGCTTTGTAGCCACTACTGTCATATTAAAAAATTTTGATTGATAGTTGTCAGTAATTATCGCGAGGGCCTTATTTCTTTATTCTTACAATAACTTATGAACTTGAAATTGATTCTATCCAGCATTTTTAGGTTGTTCACTAAAACCATGTTTTCGATACTCTAGTTCTAGTTTCACACCTACTATATATGTACTCTATGGCTACAACTGCTACTGTATAAGTATTCTTAACGTCACAAATCAATATTTCATTATTCTAAAACTAGGAAAATCTATTTTTTTACAGAATATTATTTGAAGTAGATTATCAATGAAAAAAAAAATCCAATTTTGAAAACAAAATATTCGATGAAATTGCCACCGATATTACATTTATATACCAAAGCAAATAATGCTAGTTTTTAAGTAAAAATATAATTAACAATAGTTAGAATATTTAAGATTATATCTTTAAAGATTCATGACGTGACTCATCAAAATCCTTAGTAGAGTAAAGACGTATTTTAGGTAAAAGAAGAAATTTTAGACATAATGCTACATCGAATTATAAAAATGTGTTGAATTTATGACAGAATACTATTGGATTGTAGGCACTAAGGATGGGATATCGAAGGCCCAATATCCATATTGTCATCGACATTAATATAGGCCTACAACTATTAATATCATCAAAATATCGGGCTTGATATGTCAATAGTCGATATTTTCATCGATCGATATTATAAACATTTTTGAAATATGAATATCAATATAAACATTGATTCTCTAACATATGGGCACATAAAAAAATATATTATTTCCTCTTTAAATTAACACGTTAGCTACGGTTACGGTTCCCGGCATCTCTCAGATATAATGATTATTTACGTTTGTAACTATCTTTACATCTATCCAACTCCCATTCAAATATTTTTCAAAATGACCATTTTAGAGACTTCTTAAAATATTAAAAATTCGAAACCATCCCAACCGAAATCGATATCGAAAATATCGGAACCCGGGGATCGTAACCGCAGTTAACGTGTTAATTAATGAAAACATCAATTCTTTTAATCTCCTTAGTAAAATGTATTTTCTAATTCCTGTCCATTTAGTCATCCTCAGTTTTTCCACAGAAATATCCTTTCAATCAATTATGCCTTCCATTTACCCATAGATCGAATTAAGGGAAATGATAATTTATCTGTATAATACATACATTTCTTTGACGATTCAGGGCCTTGGTTTGAGAAGGTTCTATCTAACGAATTTGGGCAAATTCAGTTTACTGAGTGAGAAGAGTTCCAGTCGCGCTATTAAACTCTGCTTAGGGATGGTAGTCGACATATCCAAATATATATCGAAATATCATATTTTCCTATACTACGCACAAAATTCTATATAAAACAAGCAAGATGAGTATAATTTTTTCCTAACAATCAGATTCATATATAATTTCTACAGTATTCCTAAAATGATAGTTTTAATTTATAAAAAAAAATTAAAATATCGAAGGGACAATATCTATTGTAAATTATATCGAAAAAGATACTATCGATGATATAATATCTAATATCGGAAGGAAAATATCGATATTTCGTTAACATTGACTATCAATCCAGCCATCCCTAGAAGGCGCCCAGAGCGAAATTTTACCAGACCCTCCCTCACACCCATCCAAATCGGCCAGTAGTCTATGTTCTCTCTCATGTTTTCAAGTTTTAAAAATTATATCTAGATATACAATTCCATTTCTACTAACAGACAATAAATATTGAATCATTAGCCAGTGCAATTATTTCAAGAACAGGAACTGGAAACATGGACAGGAAAAATGATTTGTCATGTAAAAGAGTGTAAACAAATACGATAATATATGAATCAGGAACTGGAATGCGGTTAAAAATAGCATTGTTTTCAATAATATTATATATCATTTATATGTTGTCCACTCATCATGGCGCCCTGACTCATACAAAGGTTCTGCCGACCACTTCTAGTGATTCCTATCTAAATAATAAATAATAAAATTATTGTTTTATAATTAAATACTATTTATTAGATGAGATAATTTTTATACTTGTATATCGTTCATCATGTTGGTTATTATACTTTTATGTCCGTTTGAACCTTAATCTACAATCCAATTAAATAATGCATGCCAAGTGCCCAGTCTTCCGGTCCGTAAATCCACCAATGTTTAGAAGTGGACCCTAGTTGGCTCAGCTAGGGGGGTCAATGTTTCTTGATTAATCCAATGATGGGATGCAATGGTGCACCGCCGACTTCCTATTCTACTTTATTCGCAATGCCATCAGTACGCATTGTATATAAGGATTGGTAATATATAATTATAGTATACTAACCAATCTGTTGCAGTTTATCCCGCTCTATAAATATGAAACTTTGTGTGATAATGTAACACATTATTTATTTTTTTTTTATGATCAATCTCTAGTATATCAAAAATTTATAGCTAGAAAAAAATAAATTCATTGGGCTTCAGAATAAGTTACATCCTCCAAAATTAGTAGCTTTTTTGGAGAGAATATTATTCTTTATTCTATGGTTTCAAGATCCTCTGAGCCGAAATAACCATAAATAAATAAGCAAAAGAATCAAAAATTATTTTATTTACATATATATGCAACAGAATAAGTCATAATGATTGTTACATGCTTATGGCAACATTACCTTACACATGTTACAATAAAGTGGTGTGATTGCTATTTTTTATGCTTAAATCTATTTTATACAGTAGGAAAAATAAAAAAAAAACCTACATAAGTTATAAACAGTGCCATCAGATAGTACGTGCTATCTCTGTGACTTTTGAGAAAAAGGAATATTGCTCTGCCGTCTTTCTCGACATAGAGAGAGCATTTGATAGTGTCTGGCACAAGGGCCTATTATGGAAACTAAAATCGCACTTACCTTCCATTTATTTTTTAATCCTTCAATCCTACTTTCTTAATAGATTTTTCTGTACTTCCGTAGATTCTTCTGTTTCTTCCTTCTTTCTCCAACACAAAGGCGTACCACAAGGTAGCGTCTTAAGCCCAATCCTCTATTCTATATACACTTCTGATATACCTGAGCACCCTAACACCACCATTTATTACTTCGCTGACGACACTGCTATTCTATTCAATTGCCCTACAAAACCATCTTCATGATCTTGAAAAGTGATTTGAAAAATGCAAAATCAAAATAAATAGTAGTAAATCCACCCACGTTAGTTTCTCTCTTAGGAAATCCTCATGTCCACCCATAACGATTGCTAATAATCCAGCAGTGCCTTCAAAGAACTATGTACGCTACCTTGGACTCAACTTAGACAAAAGACTTACTTGGAACATACGTACGAAATTAAAAAGACAAGAACTGGACGATATAGCCAACTTTCATATCTTCTGGACTACAGATCTTCACTTAACTTACGAAACATGCGACTAATCTACAACACCTTACTGAGACCAATATGGACATATGGAGCAGAACTTTGGGGTTCAGCAAAACAAACACACATAAACAAAACACAAACAGCACAATCAAAAATTTTACGAAAAATTGTTAACGCACCTTGGTACATTTCAAACACTACTATACATAACGACTTAAACACCCTAACAGTAAAATCCTACATCCACGACAAATACACTACATTTCATTCTTCGACCCAAAATCACTCCAATCCTCTGGTTCTTTCTATCTCCTTCTCCCTGTTGTCTGAGCAGCGCAGATTAAGAAGAAAGTGGCCAAGAGACCTACTAAATCAATAAACACCAAAACAAGCAAATCCACCAAGACAGTACAAACACAACAAATTTGCTAGATGCGCAGCCGCGCAGGTGCAAATTGCATAAAATATAAATAAATATTTAAGCTATATAAAGAGGAATAAATATCATAAAAACTATATACTGACGTTAAATTGTATAAATAAGATAATACCTATAGTCACATGTTCTATATCGTATAAACTATTATTGAATAATTGGTGTGGGAAGTATGTTGCTGTTTTTTGTCAATATTTGTAATGTAATG